CGTTCAGCCACGACTCGGTGAAACATAAGATATTACAGTTTTTAATGTCCCGTTGGTAGGATAACCGTAATCTGAGGTCATCCAAGAACAGCGCCGGGAAGATGGCTGCCGTTTTACAGCCCTCTAACCAATTGTACTATTATGTGTGTTTTTCCGCGTTATTTGTAATTTATTTTGTACATAATGTTTCTGCCATCGTCTCTTATAACCAAAAAGAGCTTCTGAATATCAGGACAGCGATTACTCACCTCGCATTGGACGAAGATTTTTTCTTCAACGAGGCGGTCGCGAAGCATATCCTACAGACACCCGACAAGGCCCAGATCCCTGTCATTCGCGTGAGGAAGAGACGGAGATATCGCGGACGCAGATCCGGGTGCCTTGTAAGGATCCGACGGCGAGCGAGTAAACTGCCTCTCCCATCAATCCTACTAGCCAACGTTCAATCTTTTGAGAATAAAATGGACGAGTTAAGATTACGGTTATCCTACCAACGGGACATTAAAAACTGTAATATCTTATGTTTCACGGAGTCGTGGCTGAACGACAACAATGATAACATTCAGCTAGCAGGCTATACGCTACATCGGCAGGACAGAACGTCTGACTCTGGTAAGACAAGGGGCGGCGGTCTGTGTATATTTGTAAACAACAGCTGGTGCACAAAATCAAATACTAAGGAAGTCTCGAGGTTTTGCTCGCCTGAGGTAGAGTATCTTATGATAAGCTGTAGACCACACTATTTACCAAGAGAGTTTTCATCTATATTTTTCATAGCTGTCTATTTACCACCACAAACCAATGCTGGCATTAAGATTGCTCTGAATGAGTTGTACAAGGCCATTAATCAACAGGAAAACGCTCATCCAGATGCAGCGCTCCTAGTGGCCGGGGACTTTAATGCAGGGAAACTTAAATCCGTTCTACCTAATTTCTACCAGCATGTTAAATGTGCAACCAGAGGGAAAAAAACTCTAGACCACCTTTACTCCACACACAGAGACGCATACAAAGCTCTCCCTCGCCCTCCATTTGGCAAATCTGACCATAACTCTATCCTCCTGATTCCTGCTTATAAGCAAAAACTGAAGCAGGAAGCACCAGTGATTCGGTTAATAAAAAAGTGGTCAGATGACGCAGATGCTAAGCTACAGGACTGTTTTGCTAGCACAGACTGGAACATGTTCCGGGATTCTTCAGACAGCATTGAGGAGTACACCACATCAGTCACTGGCTTCATCAATAAGTGCATCGATGATGTCGTCCCCACAGTGACCGTACGTACATACCCCAACCAGAAGCCATGGATTACAGGAAACATCCGCACTGAGCTAAAGGGTAGAGCTGCCGCTTTCAAGGAACGGGACTCTAACCCGGACGCTTATAAGAAATCCCGCTATGACCTCCGACGAACCATCAAACAGGCAAAGAGTCAATACAGGTCTAAGATTGAATCATACTACACTGGCTCTGACGCTCGTCGGATGTGGCAGGGCTTGAAAACTATTACAGACTACAAAGGGAAGCACAGCCGCGAGCTGCCCAGTGACACAAGCCTACCAGACGAGCTAAACCACTTCTATGCTCGCTTCGAGGCAAGCAACACTGAAGCATGCATGAGAGCACCAGCTGTTCCGGATTACTATGTGATCACGCTCTCCGTAGCCGATGTGAGTAAGACTTTTAAGCAGGTCAACATTCACAAGGCCGCAGGGCCAGACGGATTACCAGGACGTGTACTCCGAGCATGTGCTGACCAACTGGCAAGTGTCTTCACTGACATTTTCAACATGTCCCTGACTGAGTCTGTAATACCAAAATGTTTCAAGCAGACCACCATAGTCCCCGTGCCCAAGAACTGTAAGATAACCTGCCTAAATGACTACCGACCCGTAGCACTGACGTCTGTAGCCATGAAGTGCTTTGAAAGACTGGTCATGGCTCACATCAACAGCATAATCCCAGAAACCCTAGACCCACTCCAATTTGCATACCGCCCCAACAGATCCACAGATGATGCAATCTCTATCGCACTCCACACTGCCCTTTCCCACCTAGACAAGAGGAACACCTACGTGAGAATGCTATTCATTGACTACAGCTCAGCATTCAACACCATAGTGCCCTCTAAGCTCATCACTAAGCTAAGGATCCTGGGACTAAACACCTCCCTCTGCAACTGGATCCTGGACTTCCTGACAGGCCGCCCCCAGGTGGTAAGGGTAGGTAACAACACATCTGCCACACTGATCCTCAACACGGGGGCCCCTCAGGGGTGCGTGCTCAGTCCCCTCCTGTACTCTCTGTTCACCCATGACTGCATGGCCAGGCACGACTCCAACACCATCATTAAGTTTGCCGACGACACAACAGTGGTAGGCCTGATCACCGACAACGATGAGACAGCCTATAGGGAGGAGGTCAGAGATCTGGCCGTGTGGTGCCAGGACAACAACCTCTCCCTCAACGTGACCAAGACAAAGGAGATGATTGTGGACTACAGGAAAAAAAAGAGGACTGAGCACGCCCCCATTCTCATCGACGGGGCTGTAGTGGAACAGGTTGAGAGCTTCAAGTTCCTTGGTGTCCACATCACCAACGAACTATCATGGTCCAAACACACCAAGACAGTCGTGAAGAGGGCACGACAAAGCCTATTCCCCTTCAGGAGACTAAAAATATTTGGCATGGGTCCTCAGATCCTCAAAAAATTCTACAGCTGCACCATCGAGAGCATCCTGACTGGTTGCATCACCGCCTGGTATGGCAACTGCTTGGCCTCTGACCGCAAGGCACTACAGAGGGTAGTGCGTACGGCCCAGTACATCACTGGGGCAAAGCTCCCTGCCATCCAGGACCTCTGTAACAGGCGGTGTCAGAGGAAGGCCCTCAAAATTGTCAAAGACTCCAGCCACCCTAGTCATAGACTGTTCTCTCTGCTGCCGCACGGCAAGCGGTACCGGAGTGCCAAGTCTAGGTCCAAAAGACTTCTCAACAGCTTCTACCCCCAAGCCATAAGACTCCTGAACAGCTAATCATGGCTACCCGGACTATTTGCACTGCCCCCCCACCCCATCCTTTTTACGCTACTGCTACTCTGTTAAGTATTTATGCATAGTCACTTTAACTCTACCCACATGTACATATTACCTCAACTAGCCGGTGCCCCCGCACATTGACTCTGCAACGGTACCCCCCTGTATATATAGCCTCCCTACTGTCACTTTATTTTACTTCTGCTCTTTTTTTCTCAACACTCTTTTTGTTGTTGTTTTATTCTTACTTTTTTGTTTAAAATAAATGCACTGTTGGTTAAGGGCTGTAAGTAAGCATTTCACTGTAATGTCTGCACCTGTTGTATTCGGCACATGTGACCAATAAAATTTGATTTGATCATTATGGGGTATTGAGTGTAGGTGGGTGAGAAATCAATTAATTCAATTTAGAATTCAGGCTGTAACAACAAAATGTGGAATAAGTCAAGGGGTATTAATACTTTCTGAAGCCACTGTAGGTGATAGTGTAACAGTAGAAGAATGTGTGTGAAGTAAAAGTAAAGGGAGTTACAATTTGTTTATTTATTGAGTGCCACCAGTGTGTGACACACAGGTGATAGTAAAGTGACAATTCATGGCATTTGTGTGTTGATTGTTCACACAGGTGAGCTGATCCTACAGGACCTGAAGGCCTGCAACATCCTGTCTGTCCTCTTCCCTGACACCCACGTCCAGTGTCTGACCCTCCTGGGAGGAGGAGACGAAAGTAGCACCCTACTGCTGGGCCTCATCACAGTCAGGCTGACACCACAGTAACCAGCACCAGGGAGGACGACTTGTTCATAGAATCCAATAGTAGCGAGGATGAAGACAAATAGGACAGTCAGAACCATGTAGGAGTGGAGTTTGTTCTGGAACTTTATTTCTTTATGTGATACTTTTTAATTCATGAGTATTTGGAAATATCCTGACTTACTGAGACACTTCTTCAGTATAAAAGAGGGTGACCTGATAAGTAGAAGAACGGAACGTAAAATGTATATTTCAAGAAAAGGATTCAAAATCAAATTTTATTGGTCGCATACACATATTTAGCAGGTGTTATTGCGGGTGTAGCGAAATGGGAAGAAAAAAATGATTGGTTCCCCTATCTGCGGTATAACTGTTTTAATGGATAAAATAAAAACAGGACGGAAATTACACATACGTGACATTAAACTAGTTTGACAGAATATGTAGACTGTCTCAACAAATATGAACTCCCATTCCAGACAGTGCCCCAACTGACATCACTATTTAGCAAACCGAAGTACTGCACCTGTGGATGGTCAATTGGGAAAGAAATCATAAAATAACCAAAAAATTGAAGTTACTGTCAAATCCCAACTCAGGTAAACACCTCACAGAAACAAAGCAATCTACCCCTCTGTCAGCCATACAAAATAAACATAGCACAACCAACTATTTGGCCCCATCTGGTACAGTGATTAATGAATTGAGACTCACGGATTTGGAACAGACTTATTTTAAACTGCATAAGAAATTAAAAGCTTACTCAACTGTAAGAAAAAAGGGGCAAATATAATATATTAATTTTTACAAAAAGGACATAATTCAGCTACATTACATCAAATCAACATTCCCAAATGGGCTAGTAGGCCAAAATGTGCTTCTCGAGTTAATCAATACACTTGTCAGAACAGAATTTAAGTAACACACGATAAAGACTGAAGACGGCAGCTTTAGGCTGAGGATCCTTACAGTCAATATCAGACTTCCCAAAATAACATTTAGGCTTCAGTGTGAGTCGCCAGTATTGTAACAGCACCAGTTCAGTATTGGTCAAGTCCTTTGCTCAGAGTAAGGGCTGCTGGAAATAGAGTTCTGATTGCTCTCAGAACTTAACATTTTGTCATACCTTGAATGAATCACTTGGAAAAACTCAACCCTCAGTTCAACAATGTTCCGAGAGGAAAGGGACAATGGATGGAGGACTTGTCACTACTACCTGGACCTCCGGTCCTTTTTGTTCTTGTCCAGGCTTTTGTCCATAGTCTTTTCATTGTCCCCTCTGCACTTGGGACAGAACCACTTCCCCTTGGGCTTGTAGGTGAGCCCCACGCAGGAGAAGTGGAACCACTCGATGGGGCACGCATCGTTATCGCAGCCGATCATCTCTCCATATGACACCTGCTCGCACAGGCAGTAGGTGGGCTCGTTGGGGTCGATGGTGAACTCCACGGGCGAGGCGTCGCGCTCCTGCTTGGCCTTGCGCTTCTTCTTCTTGGCCGACTTGGACCTTTTCTCCCGCGGCTGCAGTGACAGCTCATCCGCCGGGTCGTCCATCACCGCTCCGTTCCCCGAGGCGTGGTTGGAGTCGCGGCTCTCGCTGTTACGCTGGCGCCTTGGCCGGCGGGCCGAGGAGCGCTCGGCAGGTGTGGACACCACCGCCTCCTGGACAGAACTGGAGCGCCGCTCGGTGATGACCCGCTCCCGCTCACTGGTCTCGCTTGGCTCCTGGAGGCAGAGGGAGTCCATCTGGCGGGAACGGTTCTCTACCAGCTCTGTCATCTGGGTAACCACATGGATCTTCTCGTCGCCGAGCTCCTGGCTGGTGATGAGGGCCCGCTGCAGCTGGATCTGAAGCCTCTTACGTTGTGCCGCGTCCTGCTCGCCCTGGTAACGCTCGTAGACATTGTCAACCTCCTTCAGGACCTCTGCAAAGCACACAGAAGGAGAAAATATTTATACGTTAGGATGGGTCTTCTGCATTTGTTAAGTTACTGAGTTGAATAATCATCATGAGGGACTAAATAACATCTGACGCTGTGTCAGTCAGTGGGTAGGGGGAACTTTTACCTACTCATTGAAGCCCCTGGTAGGAACAAGGGAAAAATGCATGAACATTTGTGAGCACAATTGTATGCATGTATAAATAGCTACTGCAAACTCTGGGAGCACTGGAAATCACCTAATGGCAATCTGACAAACGAGTAATGAGCTGGAAAATCTTTATGAACAAACAAACGCAACATGTAAAGTTTTGGTCCCATGTTTCATGAGCTGAAATAAAAGATCACAGAAATGTTCCATGATTTTCCACAAAAAGGTTATTTCTCTCAAATTTGGTGCACAAATGTGTAAATCCCTGTTAGTGAGCATTTCCCCTATGCCAAGATAATCCATTCACCTGACAGGTGTGGCATATCAAGAAGCATGTTCATTACACAGGTGCACCTTGTGCTGGGGACAATAAAAGGCCACTAAAATGTGCAGTTATGCCACAGATGTTTCAAGTTTTGAGGAAGCGTGCAATTGGCATGCTGACTGCAGGAATGTCCACCAGAGCGGTTACCAGAGAAATTAATGTTCATTTCTCTACCATAAGAGAAATGTTTTAGAGAATTTGGCAGTACGTCCAACTGGCCTCACAACCGCATACCACGTATAACCACGCCAGCCCAGGACCTCGACATTCGGCTTCTTCACCTGCGGGATCGTCTGGGGGGGGTGAGCTGAGGATTATTTCTGTCTGTAATAAAGCCCTTTTGTGGGGAAAAACTCATTCTGAATGGCTGGGCCTGGCTCCCCAGTGGGTGGGCCTGGCTGCCAAGTGGTTGGGCCTATGCCTTCCAAGGCCCATTCCATGGCTGCACCCTTGACCAGTCAAAACAATAGATTAGGGTTATATGAACTGTAACTCAATAAAATAGGTGCATGTTGCGTTTATATTTCTGTTCAGTATAGCTTGCTTCATGAGAGAAGGCTTTTGGAAATAGCGTGACATCGGCAAGTAGCCTATATGTTTTGTCCTGGTAAAGTTGTCTGGCTGACTACTGTCATCACCCCTCTAGCTGGCAAAAAACCCAACCATATTTACAGATATCTAACTAGCTAGCTAGTTTATCCACTGAAAGTTAGCGGTTTAGCTCAATGTCTATCTGCAGACTGTGGTTACTACATGCCGCGCCCACTACATGCTGCTGCCACTGCCATTGAGGATGCTAGCGCTGTCTCTGGCCCACACTCCAGCACAGTAATGCACCAACGTTGGATGCCAAATGCCGAAAAACGTCACCAAAAGGAGGCTGCTAGCTACAGTAGCTGATATCAGTACACAGTGTCCTTCGCCCGCGCCAGCTGAGCACCGCTTTCCCGCAATTCTGTTAACATCATGGCGAGGAAATAGCTAGCAAGCTAGGACACCGATACAGTGTCCTCTGTCCCTGCCTGCCGAGCACTGCTTTCCCGCAGATCTGTTAACGTTACGGGGAGTGAAGCAGCTAGCATTTATTGTCAATCAGTGTTGCTTCCTAAGTGGACAGTTTGATTTCACAGAAGTGTGATTGACTTGGAGTTACATTGTGTTGTTTAAGTGTTCCCTTTATTTTTTTGAGCAGTATATATATATATATATATATATATATATATATATATATATATATATATATATATATATATATATATATATATATAGCTCAGGGTTTGAGAGATAGTTGATTATTATAGTATCGCGATGTGTGCCCGATGATGCCCCTCGACCCTAATTTTCTCCTGGGCGCACAATAGAGTGTGCCTTGTGTGGCCTCATTAAAATTATCCATAGCCTATACCGGTTTGAGGGCCCTATACTCTAGGCTACATGAGGGGCCTATACTTTAGGCTATATGACTAGGCTATACGAACAGCATGCTCGGAGCAGCACAGGGCAAAGTTATATTTCTAAGAAAATATACTTCAAGTTTTTGCGCTGCTCGGATGGTGCATATAAAACTAAGCTATACCGCATTACAAACTGCAATGGATAGGTGTTCCCAATCATGAGTCCAGGCCTGCACTGCTCTTGCTGATGTGAACCATTTTGTGCTGCCTAACCAATGACTGAGCTGTGTACAGTGGCACTTCAGAAGGCTAGTCAAAGGCTTCTTTTGAAAATATTGTTTTAATCTGTGTGCACGGACTAGGCCTACTAATTTCCTGTTCAGTTTGAGAGGGAGAGCGCGAAGATGAGGACCGGCGGGTAAGCCTCCATCATTCTTAAATGGAAGAAGTTTGGAATCACCAAGACTCTTCCTAGAGCTGGCCGCCTGGACAAACTGAACAATCGGGGGAGAAGGGCCTTGGTCAGGGAGGTGACCAAGAATCCGATGGTCACTCTGACAGAGCTCCAGAGTACCTCTGTGGAGATGGGAGAACCTTCCAGAAGGACAACCATCTCTGTAGCACTCCACCAATCAGGCCTTTATGGTAGTGGCCAGACGGAAGCCACTTCTCAGTAAAAGGCACGCCAGCCCGCTTGGAGTTTGCCAAAAGGCTTCTAAAGGACTCTCAAACCATGAGAAACAAGATTCTCTGGTCTGATCAAACCAAGATTGAACTATTTGGCCTGAAGCATGGTGGTGGTAGCATCATGATGTGGGGATGTTTTTCAGCGGCAGGGCCTTGGAGACTATTCAGGATTGAGGGAAAGATGAATGGAGAGATCCAGAGCGCTCAGGACCTCAGACTGGGGCGACAGGTTCACCTTCCAACAGGACAACGACCCTAAGCGCACAGCCAAGACAACGCTGGAGTGGCTTTGGGACAAGTCTCTGAATGTCCTTGAGTGGCCCAGGCAGAGCCCAGACTTGAACCCGATCGAACATCTCTGGAGACCTGAAAATAGCTGTGCACCGACACTCCCCATCCAACCTGACAGAGCTTGAGAGGATCTGCAGAGAAGAATGGAAGAAACTCCCCAAATACAGGTGTGCCAAGCTTGTAGCGTCATACCCAAGAAGACTTGAGGCTGTAATCGCTGCAAAAGGTGCTTCAACAATTTTGTTATTTGCAAACATCCTGTTTTTGCTTCATCACTATGGGGTATTGTGTGTAGATTGATGAGGGAAAACATTTTTTACATTCATTTAAGGATTAGGCTGCAATGTAACAAAATGTGGAAAAAGTCAAGGGGTCTGAATACTTTCCAAATGCACTGTAACTTACATTACTATGAAGCTGCAGCTGCAGAGATGGACAGCGCATGGGTGCTGAAAGTAGGCTAATTCAAGAAGGTCCAATTCATTTAAAATAGTCTACATTTTAATTTGACTTAAGGCTACTAAGAACAAGGGGGCTTTGTGTTGGAGCCCATTTCGTCCTATTCAATAAGAGGTAGGCCTACATGTTTTACAAAATTAGTAGTCTACATTTACATTTTAGTCATTTAGCAGATGCTCTTATCCAGAGCGACTTACACGAGCAATTAGGGTTAAGTGCCTTGCTCAAGGGCACGTCGACAGATATTTCACCTAGTCGGGTCGGGGATTAGAACCAGCGACCTTTCGGTTACTGGCACAACGCTCTTAACCACTAAGCTACCTGCCGCCACCTGCCGTCTACTATACATTATTTTGTCAGCCAATTCCTTCAGTCACCATGCACTCCTTACATATCTCAGTGTCAGTGAAGAGCTTGGTGTGTTAACTTAAAACCAGGGCTTGACTTGAGGGTGTATGTGAGGGTATTGTGGCTTTGTTAAAGAAAATGACAAAGCATAGGCCTACCCTTTTTTCAGCTTAAGATTTTGAAAAAAACTGATGGACCTGATTATATAAAGCGATCTATAACAGCAATGCTTTATACTAGAAACAAGCTGTCAAATGCCAGGGAAAGACGTGACTCCGATGCATATGGGATATCTTTGGTTCGTCTCTATGACATTCAGAGGCTGTGGTAAAATCTTCTATAACCAAGGAGACAAAAAAATAAACTTCTTTGCTCGGGAACTAATGTCTGAGTCGGTCACTATCAATTGATGTTCGACATTTTAACAGGCCATTAAACATACTAACTCCAAATCAGTCAAGAGCAAGCCAGCTAGCCTAAGAAGAAACAACATTTAATTTAGGAAATAAATTGTGAAGCATTTGTGACACACTACAGGCTGGCGGGAGCGCTCAGCATTAATAAGTCTCCTGAGTGGCGCAGTGGTCTAAGGCACTGCATCGCAGTGCTAACTGTGTCACTAGAGATCCTGGTTCGAATCCAGGCTCTGTCGCAGCCGGCCGCGACCGGGAGACTCATGGGCGGCGCACAATTGGCCCAGCGTCGTCCAGGGTAGGGGAGGGAATGGCCGGCAGGGATGTAGCTCAGTTGATAGAGCATGGCGTTTGCAACGCCAGGGTTGTGGGTTCGATTCCCACAGGGGGCCAGTATAAAAAAATATGTAAGTCGCTCTGGATAAGAGCGTCTGCTAAATGACTAAAATGTAAATGTAAATGTAAATAACAGCAGTTCAACAACATACCTATAAAATTCACATTAAGGCTATATAAAAAACGAAATTAAAAAAAGACTTACATAATGAAACGAAAAATGCCTTATTAGGCTATACAGTGCCTTTGAATTCGCTTTTAGAAACACGAGTTCGGCCAGTCTTTGGTTTGAGGATCATGCGCTGAGCTATGCATGCCTAGTTTGTAAATTTAGCCTAGCAGATGCTATTATATTCCCATGCCCTAATCACAGTCAAAACAAATCTATTTTGTAACAACAATATCACGGAATAAAGTACAGAATGTCAGTTTCACAAATTCAAAAGGGTACAAGTGCATATAGGCCTACCTGATGACATGTCTGCTGTGTTAAATATATTTTTCTCGACTTCATTGATGATCAAATACTTCAGTTCTGACTGGTTCTGTTGAGCTCAACTTTTACAGTTGATAGAAAACTTTAGGACAGTTCCAAACTTATACTATCCTCTTTTGTTAACAATAGCCTGTATAGAAATCATTACGTCTCTGGTGCTGCAGCATTCACACAATCAATGTCGTGCTCTGTTGTGGTATTAAAAAAAGATTCTGCTTGTCTCCAGTCATGTAAAATGACGTAGAATTGCATGAAAAGTATTTATAGCAGGCCATTTATTCTCGGATCGCAAATAAGATATTCATGCAGTGCTTTTATTAAATGGATATCTTTTCACCCCTACCCTTGTCTGCAGTGGTCTGGGAATCCGCAACCTTTGCTACTTTGACAAGGCTGGTCTGTCCTAGGAGTGAGGGTAAACGGTAGGCATGTTCTCTGCTATTTTCTATTATTATTTTGGGTATATGGTAGGGTCACTTGTCTTTTTTCAAGCATTCAGGGAGGGTAAAAAAACATTTTACTGAAGGGAAGGCCTTCCATTTTCATTTCAGAGGTCTAATTTTCTCCAGGTATCCCTCATTACAAATAACGTACAGTCCCTAACTTAAAAATGCCTCATGAGCTTAGATCAACTGACTTACCCCTTCAGAACCAAAAAAAAAAGCTTGTTTTACTCCAATGTTTGTAAACAAAGGAAAATGTAAACAAACAAACACTATATAGCCTCAAAACATGGTTAAAACCATAATTGTGATGTCATGGATGGTCAATTCTTGCATCCATAGCTCTGTCTATGAATTTGATAGTGATTACATTTCTCCAGCCCCATCCCTCAGCTTTTTACCAAACAAGGGGTGGGGAGGCAGCTTTGTTATTGTTTCTACTGCTGATTTAACAATCCCTTGAAAACGGCACGTAGTTGTCAACGGTTTTAGCGGCGCTGGGGGTCTCCTTGCCCCACAGCAGCCAAACCGAACGCTCGGTATTGTGACGTTTTATTGATAATGACCGAAAACGCTCAATAGCACGCAATGTTGAAAATAAATCTTAAGACATGTACATAAATGTAGTTTTGTCATTGACTAAAACAAGCAGACAAGAAAATTGAGTTTGAAAAGGGTGATGTGTCTCCCGAGTGGCGCAGTGGTCTAAGGCACTGCATCGCAGTGCTAGCTGTGCCACTAGAGATCCTGGTTCGAATCCAGGATCTTCTGTAGCCGGCCGCAACCGGGAGACCAATGGGGCGGCGCACAATTGGCCCAGCGTCGTCCATTCCCTCGAATGGCTGGCAGGGAGGTAGCTCAGTTGGTAGAGCATGGCGTTTGCAACGCCAGGGTTGTGGGTTCGATTCCCACAGGGGGCCAGTATGAAAATAAAAAAGAATAATGTATGCACTAACTGTAAGTCGCTCTGGATAAGAGCGTCTGCTAAATGACGTAAATGTAAAAAATTTAATGATGTTTTTGCTGTGAGCCAAATTGGGTAACCTAAGTAACAACAGGTTGTTTTCTCCACAGGCGGGCGGGGCATTCTAATACCGATTCAGGAAGTGACGACACTTTCCGCCTGTTCAGGCAATAATATCTATCTGCACACTGCGGTTACTACATGCTGCGCCCACTACAGGTAACTTACTACATGCTGCGCCCTCTGCCATTGAGGCTGCTAATGCTGTCTCTGGCCCACACTCCAGCACATTAGGCGGCGGTAATGCACCAACATTGGACGCCAACCGCTGAAAAACCCCCACCGAAGAAGGATGCTGCTAGTTTGCTTGGGGACAACGGTACAGTGTCCTCCGCCCCCACCTGCCGAGCGCTGCTTTCCCGCAGTTCTGTTAACGTTACGGCGAGGGAAGTAGCTAGCTAGTGTAGCCAACCCAACTCTCGTATGGCACTACTGGGTGGTGGGTGGGGCATATAGTAAAAGTGGTCTGCAGATATAACCCCTGATCAGAGAAGGGTCTAACAGTCGCAAAGTCAAAATTGGCTATATATTTATCTTAATTTAAGGTTAGGCATAAAGGTTTGCAGTGTGGTTAAGATTTTTAAATCAGATTTTTATAGAAGAGAAATTGTAGAAATAGGCAGGGTTTAGCCAGTCGGAGTTCTATAAAGAGGCCAGAATTCCTGTGTTGGAATTGCGAGTTGGATGACGGTTGAAAGCGTTTTTTTCAGAATTCCCAGTTGTCTTGAACACACTGGAGTCGGAGATCTACGAGTTCTCAGTTGTTTTGAATGCGGCACAAGTACTGGCAAAATTACCTCATACATTGCACATTTTCATCATCAGCGTTAGAGCAGATTGCAACAACGACCATTACGCTTTATTTGTTTTACTGCTAGCTAACAGTTAACGTTGGTTGTACTATGAATTTTACATTTGCTAGCAAGCAACACTATCGACAATAAATCAACATCCCTTGTAAAATAAACAAAAACGAATGCAGATAACAGGTTTACCAACTCGAAAGAAAGCCGTTAAACGCCACAACACCACCCCTCTTACCAAAATGGCTGATCCTCTGTGGCTATCAAGTCAACTCGGACCTGACTTCTCCAACACGGAGACATGTTGTTGAGGATAACAAATTGAAGGCATACATTTTACTCGATAGACTAACCTAGCTATATATTTCAGCACACAAAAAACTCGCTTTCAATGCTAGCTAGTGTGTGGAACATTAACGTTAGCTAAAGTGGATCGGGGCATTTGTCAATCCAGCACACCCAGTTTTTGCGATTTTATCGTCAAACTCGCAAATACAACCACTAAAACAACGAGAGGAAAAACAATACCTTGATACTTTGAGTCAATTTCTCGCAGCAGAGAGACGTTTCTTTGTATATCCAAAGGCATGGACTCAACACATTCCAAATAATCCTCCACATAGCTGACCAGTTGTGACTTTTCCACGTTTGGATAGTTTTGACCTAACATTGTTCCACCGATGCATCGAGACAATCAAGAAAACATGTAAATATATTTGAGATAAGGCATTTAGTATGATTTCTAATGGTTTTCTTGCTCCAGTATTGTTGTTTCCTATTCCCTGGGCAGTTCACTTCAAACAAAACTGCACACAGTGCGCATGGGCGCAGTGTATTCCTTTTATGGCAAAGCACAGCGTTTTCGCATTTTACTTGACAGGGGGATGGCCCGTTCATATTTCTAGCGTTTGGATTGGCTGTGAATAAAATAAAGGCAGCCTTTATTATTATGAACTTTTCCCGGGAAAGTAAATCACTAATTAAGTATTTTTAACACCATTTTTTATAAAATCGTACTATTTTGTTCCACCTGCAAATATAGTTGTTCACTGGACTATGCTAGTATAATGCTTTTTAATGAAAGGGTTGGTTAGAACATGATTTCCATTCATGGTGTAGCAGCACCCAAAGTGCTCAGTTCCCTAACTTCCCTTGCTATGTATTATCATAAAAGCCATTTTTGTTTTTGTCCAGAATAAGTTGAGCACATCTCTCTCTCTCTCTCTCTGTGAGTGTGTGTGTGTGTGTGTGTGTGTGTGTGTGTGTGTGTGTGTGTGTGTGTGTGTGTGTGTGTGTGTGTGTGTGTGTGTGTGTGTGTGTGTGTGTGTGATGGACATTGAATTCTGCAGAGGCACATAGATACACTTAATAATATATTGGCCATTTCAGCACATCACATGTGACATTATTACATCTCTTCATCTTTCAAACCTAGAGGCAAAACAAGATATTCAAGTTCTGATGGAAACCCCAAAAGCAGTCACCTCTCTCTCTGTGTGTGTGAGTGATATTGGGTTTTGCAGAGGCACATACAGTGCATTCAGAATGTATTCAGACCCCTTGACATTTTCCACATTTTTTTACGTTACAAGGCTTATTCTAATTGTATTTATATTTTTTATTCCCTCATCAATCTACACACAATACCCCACAATGACAAAGCAAAAACTGGTTTTAATACATTTTTGCAAAAAATAAAAAGACATACCTTATTTAAATAAGTATACAGACACTTTGCTATGAGACTCGAAATTGAGCTCAGGTGCATCCTGTTTCCATTGATCATCCTTGAGATGTTTCTAAATTACAACATGATTGGAGTACACCTGTGGTAAATTCAATTGATTGGACATGATTTGGAAAAGCACACACCTGTCTATATAAGATGCCACAGTTGACAGTGCATGTCAGAGCAAAAACCAAGCCATGAGGTCGAATGAATTGTCCGTAGAGCTCTGAGACAGGATTGTGTTGAGGCATAGATCTGGGGAAGGGTACCAACACATTTCTGCAGCATTGAAGGTCCCCAAGAACACAGTGGCCTCCATCATTCTTAAACGGAAGATGTTTGGAACCACCAAGACTTCCTAGAGCTGGCCGCCCGGCCAAACTGAGCAACCGGGGGAGAAGGGCCTTGGTCAGGGATGTGACCAAGAACCCAATGGTCACTCTGACAGAGCTCCAGAGTTCCTCTGTGGAGATGGGATAAACTTCCAGAAGGACAACCATCTCTGCAGCACTCCACCAATCAGGCCTTCATGGTAGAGTGGCCAGACGGAAGCCACTCCTCAGTAGAAGGCACATAACCGCCCGCTTGAAGTTTGCCAAAAGGCACCTAAAGACTATCAGACCATGAGAAACAAGATTATCTGGTCTGATGAAACTAAGATTGATGTCTTTGGCCTGAATGCCAAGCGTCACGTCTGGAGGAAACCTGACACCATCCCTATGGAGAAGCATGGTGGTGGCAGCATCATGCTGTGGAGATGTTTTTCAGTGGCAGGGAATGGGAGACTAGTCAGGTTTGAGGGAAAGATGAACGGAGCAAAGTACAGAGAGATCCTTGATGAAAACCTGCTCCAGAGCGCTCAGCACCTCAGACTGGGGCGACAGTTTCACCTTCCAACAGGACAATGACCCTAAGCACACAGCCAAGACAATGCAGGAGTGGCTTCGGGACAAGTCTCTGAATGTCCCTGAGTGGCCCAGCCAGAGCCCAGACTTGAACCCGATCGAACATCTCTGGAGAGACCTGAAAATAGCTGTGCAGTGACGCTCCCCATCCAACCTGACAGAGCTTGAGAGGATCTGCAGAGAAGAATGGGAGAAACTCCCCAAATAAAGGTGTGCCAAGCTTGTAGAAAAGGACTTGAGGCTGTAATCGCTGCCAAATGTGCTTCAACAAAGTACTGAGTAAAGGGTTGGAATGCTTACAGTACCAGTCAAAAGTTTGGACACACCTACTCATTGAAAGGTTTTTCTTTAATTTTACTATTTCCTACATTGTAGAATAATAGTGAAGACGTCAAAACTATGAAATAACACATACAGAATCATGCAGTAACCAAAACAGTGTTGAACAAATCAAAATATATTTTATATTCAAGATTCTTCAAATAGCCACCCTTGCTCTTGATGACATTATTGCACTCTCTTGGCATTCTCTCAACCAGCTTCATGAGGTAGTCACCTGGAATGCATTTCAATTAACAGGTGTGCCTTCTTAAAAGATAATTTGTGGAATTTCTTTCCTTCTTAATACATTTGAGCCAATCAGTTGTGTTGTGACAAGGTATTCAGAAGATAGTCCTATTTGGTAAAAGACCAAGTCCATATTATGGCAAGAACAGCTCAAATAAGCAAAGAGAAACGACAGTCCATCATTACTTTAAGACATGAAGGTCAGTCAATACGGAACAGTCGCAAAAACTATCAAGCGCTATGATGAAACTGGCTCTCATGAGGACCACCACAGGAATGGAATACCCAGAGATACCTCTGCTGCAGAGGATAAGTTCATTAGAGTTACCAGCCTCAGAAATTGTAGCCCAAATAAATGCTTCACAGAGTTCAAGTAACAGACACATCAACTGTTCAGAGGGGAATGTGTGAATCAGGCCTTCATGGTCGAATTGCTGCAGAGTGAATGAAAAGCAGCCAACAAGTGCTCAGCATATGTGGGAACTTCTTCAAGACTGTTGGAAAAGCATTCTAGGTGAAGCTGGTTGAGATAATGCCAAGAGTGTAAAAAATAGTAAAAATAAAGAAAATCCCTGACTGGTAATGTCAATTTTTTATAAATGTGAAAATGTCTCAAAATCAGTTTTTGCTTTCTCATTATGAGGTATTGTGTGAAGATTGATGGGGTGGGGGGGGGGGGGGGACAATTTAATACATTTTAGAAGGCGGCTGTAACGTAACAAAATGTGGAAAAAGTCAAGGGGTCTGCATACTTTCCGAATGCGCTGTAGATAGACTTAACAATATTTTGGCCATCTCTTCATCTTTCAAAACGAGATATTCAACGTCTGACAGTAAACCCCAAAGGCAATCATATCAAAATAAAATCAAATTGTATCGGTCGCATGTGCCAAATACAACAGGTGTAGACTTTACATTGAAATGCTTACTTACGAGCACATTACCAACAGTGCAGAGTTAAAATATTTGCTGAATAAAAAAGGAAATAGTAACACAATAAAAACAATAACGAGGCTATATACAAGGAGTACCTGTAACGAGTCAATGTGCAGGGGTACGAGGTAGTTGAGGTAGTTGAGGTAATACAGTATGTACATGTGGGTAGGGTTAAAAGTGACTAAGCAATCAGGAAATATAATAAACAGCGTAGCAGCAGCATATGTGAAGTGTGAAAGTGTGTCTGTGTGAGTGTGTATGTGTGTGGCGTCAATATGCATGCGTGTTTTGTGTGTGTGAGCCCTGTTCCTGGAGAGCTACTGTCCTGTAGGTTTTCACTCCAACCCAGTTGTAACTAACTTGATTCAGCTGGTTGATAAGCTGAACCTACAGGACAGGTAGCTTTCCGGGAACAGGGTTGGAGAGCCCTGTTCTAGGGCCTTCCTCTGACATCGCCTGGTATAGAGGTCCTGGATGGCAGGGAGTTCGGCCCCAGTGATGTACTGGGCCGTACGCACTACCCTCTGTAGCGCCTTGCGGTCGGATGCCGAGCATGATGCAGCCAGTCAAGATGCTCTCAATGGTGCAGCTGAATAACTTTAGAGGATTTGAGGGCCCATGCCAAATCTTTTCAGCCTCCTGAGGAGGAAGAGATGTTGTCGTGCCCTCTTCACGACTGTGTTGGTGTGTTTGGAACATGATAGGTCCTTAGTGATGTGGACACTGAGGAACTTGAAGCTCTCGACCCGCTCTACTACAGATCCGTCTATATGAATGGGGGCGTGTTCAGCCTTCCGTTTCCTGTAGTCCATGATGAGCACCTCTGACCTCCTCCCTATTGGTGCTCTCATCGTTGTCTGTGATCAGGCCTACCACCGACATGCCGTCGGCAAACTTAATGATGGTGTTGGAGTCGTGCATGGCCATGCAGTCGTGAGTGAACAGGGAGTACAGGAGGGGACTGAGCACACACCCCTGAGGGGCCCCCGTGTTGAGGGTCAGCATGGCGGATGTGTTGTTGACTACCCTCACCACGTGGGAGCGGCCCATCATGAAGCCCAGGATCCAGTTGCAGAGGGAGGTGTTCAGTCCCAGGGTCCTTAGCTTAGTGATGAGCTTGGAGGGCACAATGGTGTTGAAGGCTGAGATGTAGTCAATGAACAGCATTCTCACGTAGGTGTTCCTGTTGTACAGGTGGGAAAGGGCAGTGTGGAGTGCATTTGAGATTTTGGCATCTGTTGGGGTGGTATGCGAATTGGAGTGGATCCAGGGTTTCTGGGATGATGGTGTTGATGTGAGCCATGGCTACAGATGTGAGTGCTACAGGACAGTAGTCATTTAGACAGGTTACCTTGGTGTTCTAAGGCACAGGGACTATGGTGGTTTGCTTGAAACATTTAGGTATTACCGACTGGGTCAGAGAGAGGTTAAAAATATCAGTGAAGACAGTTGCCAGCTGGTCAGCGCATGTTCTGAGTACGCGTCCTGGTAATTTGTCTGAATGTTAAGCTGTTTAAAGGGCTTGCTCTCCGTAGCTGATGTGAGTGAGATCATACAGTCATCCGGAACAGCTGGAGTGTTACAGGAGGGGGACGCAGTTCCGGAGCGACCCACTAGGTGTCGACCCACTAGGTGCCTCTGACAACCTTAGGCACCTCCTCACTCACAGTCTGGACTAATCATTATCCTATTGGTGTCACCTGGGTCTACCTGTTCACCTGTGTATTTATGCCCTCACTTCCCTGTGTTCCCTTGCTCTGTTCCTCAGCTAGTTTCTCGATGCCAAACAGTACTAATCAGTGTCTGATCGCGAGACATTTGTACAGGTACTTGAGAAGTGTCCTCCCTGTTTCATTGTTGTTTTCAGTCTTAGTTAGTATTTCGCATGTTTGCTGTCAGCCTGTTTTTGGAGACCAATTTGCTCCTCCTTTATTGTATCGTGTCAAGTCTGTTATTTTGTATCCTGGTTTTGGGACCACCAGTAAAGATCCTTGTTTCACCATCTCTGCCTACTTCCAACTGTCTATCCTGCACCGCACCTGGGTCACACCTCACACCAACACTTACACTTGTGCTCTCATGCATGCTTCAGTGTTGCTTGCCTCGAAGCGAGCATAGAAGGCATTTCGCTCGTCTGGTAGGCTCACGTCACTGGGCAGCTCTCGGCTGGGTTTCCCTTTGTCATCCATGATAGTTTGCAAGCCCTGTCACATCCGACGAGCGTCAGAGTCGGTGTAGTGTGACTCGATCTTAGTCCTGTATTGACTGTTTATGGTTCGGCGGAGAAGGATTTCTTATAAGCATCTGGATTAGTGTCCCTCTCCTTGAAAGCGGCAGCTCTAGCCTTTTGCTCAGTGTGGATGTTGCCTGTAATCCATAGCTTCTGGTTGGGATATGCACGTATGGTCACTGTGGGGACAACATCGTTGATGCACTTATTAATAAAGCCGGTGACTGATGTGGTAAACTCTTCAATGCCATCGGATGAATCACGGAACATATTCCAGTCTGTGCTAGCGAAACAGTCCTGTAACTTAGCATCCGCTTCATCAGACCACTTCCGTCACTGGTACTTCCTGTTTGATATTTTGCTTATAAGCAGGAATCTGGAGGATAGAGTTATGGTCCGATTTGCCAAATGGAGGGCGGGGGAGAGCTTTGCAAGCTTCTCTTTGTGTGTAGTAAAGGTGATCTAGAGTTTTTATCCCTCTAGATGCACAAGTGACATGCTGGTAGAAATTAGGTAAAATGGATTTCAGTTTTCCTGCATTAAATTCACCGGCCACTAGGAGCACCACCTCTGGTTGAGAATTTTCTTGTTTGCTTATAGCCATATACAGCTCATTGAGTGTGGTCTTAGTGTCATCATCAGTTTGTGGTGGGAAATAGACAGCTACGAAAAATACAGTTCTTCATGAGGTATTCTAACTCAGGCGAACAGAACCTTGAGTAATTCAGCAAGAAATCAATTCATTTACCACATACATTGGTATCATGTTATAGGTACTGTTATTGCTAAAATAACCTCACTGCAACAGGGTTTCATATGATCTACTAATACAGGTCCTTCCCCTTATTTATTTCACTGCCTATAGTCTGAAACCAGCCTCTCTAATGGTAGACCCAGGTACAATCTGATCATCAATGGAGTTCACCTTTTTCCCATAACATTTTACAGCCAAAATAGCACTTGTCATAACACTTGTCATAGGCTACTTAGTATTAGAGATAGCTATTTAAATGAACTGAATTTCTACAAACACAAATAATACAATACAAAACAAAGCTTAGCTTAGCTTAGCTAGCTAGTTTCATCCATCGTTTGCAGTATCCATGCTTGCTTGCAGCATGCTCATGCTAGCTAAATCAAGGTTTGCAATCAGGTTTTGAAAGTAAACATCAATGACCATGCATGGATCATGTTTTGTACTTTATCCACCTTTTTGGCAGGGGGACACTATTTGGCATGACAGGTCCTGATACAGGCTGCTCTCGTTGCTATCTTTGCCACGCTGGCTGCCTACTGCTGCAAGGTGGTATACAGTTGCTGCCCAGCTGCCAGAATGGTCAGCGTCAACAGAAATATAACATAAAGAATAGACACTAGCCTTCCTGGAAAAGGAACGTTTGGTTGGAGTTTAAACAACAGGCTTGACCAGGTCCCAGTTTTAGTTTTGACTCCAGGCCCACAAATACTGGGCCTATGGTGTGTCTGAGCTGACTGGCCTATATTCAAATAATTCAAAATCAACTATTTGATCAGATACCAAATAGATCTGCATTAGAAGTTACTGTAGGCCTATGTTATTATAACATGCTGATTATAAATTTTTATTTGAGCCTGTGATTTCCCTCTTTCATCGGGTGATCACAGTCCAAGTTCCTCATGCTCAGCAATGAAGAAATGTACAGTAATATATTAACTAATCAACCAGCAGAAACATGTCTTGTTTTTCCATTGATTGAAATATTATATATGCTTGTACAGTATATGTCATATCTGATTGCTAAGAGTACTATTGTGTTTCTTTTTGTAATACACTGTGTATTTTTTTTTACAATAAATATAATTGAGTTAACTATTATGTTCTGTTATATTTCCAAATGTTTTGATTTATGTTTGCCATATTATGTTTTCTAACAGTGATATCAGACATGTCACATGTTCAGTTGTGAACGTTTTTAATTAATTTGAAGTATATATATATATATATGTGAAAATGTTTGAATGTGTGACTCAAAACATCATGGGATTCTAGTAATAAGATGTATGATTATGGAATACCATTTCAGAAAAATTGTTAGCCTATGTGCCTATGCCACAACTTTGGAATGTAGGATCAAATTTCTCTCACTAGAGGGCTGACATTATGGAAAATAAAACTTTACTGGGCGTTTACTTGTCTCCTTTTATGTGCTACAATCAAATACAAAACGTAGGCTGTTTATTAAATAGGCTGTAGGATATCTTTGCAGCAACTCTATGGCTATGGAAGGTAACTTATTTTCGTATTGCATTTGATTAGTTTAATTCAACCGACTAGGCTGCATAATTCCTTCAAAATGTCCTGATAATGTGGTCTACAAATGTTATTTCCAAACAAACGAAAATGAACCCTAAGAAATAACTTGGTTTATTTTTGTCCAATTCTGTATGCTTACTTTAGCCTATTGCCTAGAGCACTCATGGTTATGTATAGGCTAGAATGTTAGGGGTCTGTTTTCCACATTGGCATATGGTTTTCCATCCTCTGTCCCGCCGAAGGTGTTGACGAAACTGGGATTATTGCGGACCCACCCGTCAATTCACAACCTGCCGGCGACGTGGATGAAGAGAGGGGTTCCCTCTTCGATGTAACATTTCTGGACCACGACTTTCCAGGTGCTGAGACGGAGACCCCGACCCGCAAGACCTACCAGGAGTTCCAGCCCAAAGCACTGGGGGTGTGTGTCATTTCTTGCGGAAGCGAAATCTAAGAAACATAACTAAATCCTCATCAATTCCCTACAGAATAAGGCTATTTTACTAAACTACTGATATTGTATTCCATTGACAATTGGTCCTCAATTAACTAACCTGATTTAATAACGTTAAAATGCAACCATAAAAATGTTCTGCCTCCTGCATTTATTCCGTAGGAATCTTGACTTTGTGGATATTTCCTCTCATCATAGGTCTCTCAGATCACGTTGGGTGTGTTTGTGCTCAACTCAGTTTATGTCAGTGTCGCCAACCGATTGGATCAGAGAAATGAAGAAGTAACCAGGGCAATAGGCTCCCTGTCTGTGAGTAGTATACTTCTCTATGCATGTCCTTTACCAACTATTAGGTTTATTAGTATGGTAAATAAATTCATGCTATTATTGAACAAGTGAAGAATGCTAAGATGTGTTCTTGTTTTGCCTTGCTTTATCTTGACATGAAATGGGTGATTTTCAGCTAACTGTGCTGTGCTCTCTGTAGGCGATAGTGGCGGGAAGTGTGGCCATAGCAGCACAGAGTCTTCATGTTCCCACAGTGAGTCATCATAGTCTGATCCCAGATCTGTTTGTGCCGTTTTGCCTACAGTCAGTTGGCAAGAGAGCACAAACAGATCTGGGACCAGGCTAAATTATCATAATTTCTGACTGAGATTACTCATTGCGTTATCTGGAAGACAAAAACGTCTACTGTCTCATTTTCCTCGTCCTTTCAGCTGAAGGCGTGTCTGGGGACACAGCTGGCTGCCTGCCTTATGGCCATGTTCAACGTGGTCGTCGTAGGAGAAAAGCTGTCTGACACCCACTTAGTGCCAGACTGCTGGCATTTCACTGATTACAACAACACACATCATCATCACACCACCTGCGACAAGCTGATGGTGAGTCCCATAGAAATAGCGTTAGAACACAGACTATACCGTATACTGTATATAAGGCCTAAATAATGTATATGTCCCGAGATCAACTTCTTCAGCTGAATCTCACAGTGAAAAGATTTGGGGACGTTCTGGGGTAACTATTGTCTTGTACAGCTCCAAGATTTAGTAGTTGTTAGTAATCTGAACATCTGTATGTGTCAATCAAAGGTTGAAAGGTTGTTGATGGAAAACATAAATATTAAAACACAATACAAATAGTGCTGTAGATGTTTAGAAAACTAAACATGTTGCCACAGTATGGTAGCGTCATTCACTCATACCTCAAACTCTGTTCCTGTGTCTACTATCTCCCCCTCCCCTACCAAGAATGCAGTGTATCCATTCTATGTCGAGTGGTTCCTCGTGCACGCTACTCTCCTCGGCATCTCTGTTACCCTGACTATCTACAGCTGCAAGCTGCTCCGCTTCTGCTCCCCTGCAGCACCCAGCACGGTAAGAGTTAATTTCAAGAGCATGAGAATTTGAACACATGCCAAATGGTTTGACCAGATGCATGTTCCATACTCACATCCTCTTCTACGCTTCACTGAAGCTATTTGATCACACACACACAATGTATTTACATTTTAGCTGCTATGCTTAATCTGAGAATATGCTTTCATTGTTGTTTAATCATGTTTTCTTTCTTAAAGCCTGTGGTCACTGCATATACTAGCCCAGCTCAGTGAGAAGAGATGAGGTACATAGAAAGGAACCTAAAGCCATCATGAGGAGACACTGATGGGTCTATCTAGCCGTGCACTTTCTTCAAATCTATTTGTCACTATGTTTTCTGTCTTGCACATACACTTGATGTTGATGATATGTTATATTACAGTGGGGGGAAAAAAATATTTAGTCAGCCACCAATTGTGCAAGTTCTCCCACTTAAAAAGATGAGAGAGGCCTGTAATTTTCATCATAGGTACACGTCAACTATGACAGACAAAATTAGATTTTTTCCCCCAGAAAATCACATTGTAGGATTTTTTATGAATTTATTTGCAAAATATGGTGGAAAATAAGTATTTGGTCAATAACAAAAGTTTCTCAATACTTTGTTATCTACCCTTTGTTGGCAATGACACAGGTCAAACGTTTTCTGTAAGTCTTCACAAGGTTTTCACACACTGTTGCTGGTATTTTGGCCCATTCCTCCATGCAGATCTCCTCTAGAGCAGTGATGTTTTGGGGCTGTCGCTGGACAACACGGACTTTCAACTCCCTCCAAAGATTTTCTATGGGGTTGAGATCTGGAGACTGGCTAGGCCACTCCAGGACCTTGAAATGCTTCTTACGAAGCCACTCCTTCGTTGCCCGGGCGGTGTGTTTGGGATCATTGTCATGCTGAAAGACCCAGCCACGTTTCATCTTCAATGCCCTTGCTGATGGAAGGAGGTTTTCACTCAAAATCTCACGATACATGGCCCCATTCATTCTTTCCTTTACACGGATCAGTCGTCCTGGTCCCTTTGCAGAAAAACAGCCCCAAAGCATGATGTTTCCACCCCCATGCTTCACAGTAGGTATGGTGTTCTTTGGATGCAACTCAGCATTCTTTGTCCTCCAAACACGACGAGCTGAGTTTTTACCAAAAAGTTCTATTTTGGTTTCATCTGACCATATGACATTCTCCCAATCCTCTTCTGGATCATCCAAATGCACTCTAGCAAACTTCAGATGGGCCTGGACATGTACTGGCTTAAGCAGGGGGACACGTCTGGCACTGCAGGATTTGAGTCCCTGGCGGCGTAGTGTGTTACTGATGGTAGGCTTTGTTACTTTGGTCCCAGCTCTCTGCAGGTCATTCACTAGGTCCCCCCGTGTGGTTCTGGGATTTTTGCTCACCGTTCTTGTGATCAGTTTGACCCCACGGGGTGAGATCTTGCGTGGAGCCCCAGATCGAGGGAGATTATCAGTGGTCTTGTATGTCTTCCATTTCCTAATAATTGCTCCCACAGTTGATTTCTTCAAACCAAGCTGCTTACCTATTGCAGATTCAGTCTTCCCAGCCTGGTGCAGGTCTACAATTTTGTTTCTGGTGTCCTTTGACAGCTCTTTGGTCTTGGCCATAGTGGAGTTTGGAGTGTGACTGTTTGAGGTTGCGGACAGGTGTCTTTTATACTGATAACAAGTTCAAACAGGTGCCATTAATACAGGTAACGAGTGGAGGACAGAGGAGCCTTTTAAAGAAGAAGTTACAGGTCTGTGAGAGCCAGAAATCTTGCTTGTTTGTAGGTGACCAAATACTTATTTTCCACCATAATTTGCAAATAAATTCATTAAAAATCCTACAATGTGATTTTCTGGGGAAAAAATGCTCAATTTGTCTGTCATAGTTGACGTGTACATATGATGAAAATTACAGGCCTCTCTCATCTTTTTAAGTGGGAGAACTTGCACAATTGGTGGCTGACTAAATACTTTTTTCCCCCCACTGTATATGGTTGCCTTTTTTGTATTTTTAATGATATAATTTGGTTATTTTGTTGTGTGTTCTGATGATAGAGTATGTCTGCTTACAGTTGAAGTCGGAAGTTTACATACACTTAGGTTGGAGTCATTAAAACTTGTTTTTCAACCACTCCACAAATTTCTTGTTAACAAACTATAGTTTTGGCAAGTCGGTTAGGACATCTACTTTGTGCATGACACAAGTCATTTTCCAACAATTGTTTACAGACAGATTATTTCACTTATAATTCACTGTATCACAATTCCAGTGGGTCAGAAGTTTGCATACACTAAGTTGACTGTGCCTTTAAACAGCTTGGAAAATTCCAGAAAATGATGTCATGGCTTTAGAAGCTTCTGATAGGCTAATTGACATCATTTGAGTAAATTGGAGGTGTACCTGTGGGTGTATTTCAAGGCCTACCTTCAAACTCAGTGCCTCTTTGCTTGACATCATGGGCCAAGATCGTACTTTTTGGAGAAATGTCCTCTGGTCTGATGAAACAAAAATAGAACTGTTTGGCCATAATGACCATCGTTATGTTTGGAGGAAAATGGGGGCTTGCAAGCCGAAGAACACTATCCCAACCGTGAAGCACGGGGGTGGCAGCATCATGCTGTGGGGGTGCTTTGCTGCAGGAGGGACTGGTGCACTTCACAAAATAGATGACATCATGAGGAAGGAAAATTATGGAAGTTAAATCTTGGTCAGAAATGGCTCTTCCAAATGGACAATGACCCCAAGCATACTTCCAAAGTTGTGGCAAAATGGCTTAAGGACAACAAAGTCAAGGTATTGGAGTGGCCATCACAAAGCCCTGACCTCAAACCTATAGAACATTTGTGGGCAGAACTGAAAAAACATGTGCGAGCAAGGAGGCCTACAAACCTGACTCAGTTACACCAGCTCTTTCAGGAGCTGGTGGGAAGCTTGTGGAAGGCTACCCGAAACGTGTTAACCCAAGTTAAACAATATAAAGGCAATGCTACCAAATACTGAGTGTATGTAAACTTCTGACCCACTGGGAATGTGATGAAAGAAATAAAAGCTGCAATAAATCATTCTCTCTACTATTATTCTGACATTTCACATTCTTAAAATAAAGTGGTGACCCTAACTGACCTAAGACAGGGACATTTTACTAGGATTAAATGTCAGGAATTGTGAAAAACTGAGTCTAAATGTATTTGGCTAAGGTGTATGTAAACTTCCGACTTCAACTGTATATGGTCTCAGGTGCTATTTTAGTGATGATTTTAAGGATTGAAACTTTGTGGGTACATCATACCGAAATAAACACTTCCTCAGGGGCAAAAACGTGTGTTTTCCTTGGCTCCAAAACAAAGCATCTATGTTTTATTGGTTGTACATACAATACATATAGGTTTTTACACACATTTAAAACTGGCTTATTCATGATTGTATTTTAGTTAACAGATACATTCATAAATATACATTTTTGTTGTCCATTTTTACAAATCTAAAAAGGGTTCAGATGTTGCATTAAAAACATTTTTCACACCAGACCAGCATTATTTTTGTGCAAACATGAAATCTTCTGATCTTCTGACGGATCAATCAATTGATCAAGCCTTTGCTGTTGCAGGAAAGTCCATTCAAGAGTAACTTGCTAGTCATTGATCTACTGTATTTCATCCTATCTTCGCAGCCTCTTCTCTGTACACTCATGGTGACTCAGTAGCAGTTCAAAGTTTTGTATTAGAAAGGTTCTGACTGATTACATTCAGATTAGATCTGCAGTTCATCTGTCCAATGGTTCTGTGGAACACCACATATGCATTATTACAGGATTATTATAAGAGTCATATAACAGAAGTCTCACAAATGCCTTGGGCCTTCATCCTAATCTTTTCACTGTTAGTTATTGTGGCAAGTCTGAATGAATAAGTAAAATACAAAACCCGGACACAATCATAATTCCTACATTTTAATCCCTCACTTACTTGGGATGAGGATGATGTGTTCTCCTCCAGGTCTCCGTAACAGCCATTCTTGTGGCGAATCAGACTCCCCCACAGTACTGAGTGTCGGCAACCGGGACACTCCCCCTCCACAGGAAGGAGATGGGCGGCCTCAGCCTTCAGAAAGTGTTTGGCTAAGCAAATCAGGTGGCTGGTCATGTGACAAGAGGGATGGAAGCAGGTCATCTTATCTGCAGACTGAAAGGATTCAATTAATCAAGGTCTTGATGAGCAGTCAACTAGCTAAATGACATGTTTCGATGCAGGGTTGGAACAAAACCCTGCATTTCATTGCTCTCCAGGACCAGTATTGGTGGCCACTGTATCGCTTTACCTTCACAGTCCCCCGACAAAGGAGGCATATATCTGCCCCCTTCTCCTCCTCCACTTCCTTCGGTTTCTGTTTCTTGGCCCTGATGCTACCGAAGGCCACAGGGACGTGCAGCGGCGGCTGAAGGCCAGGCTCAAAGTCCATCCTGTACTCCTGCTTGAGCCAGCGGGTGGTGAGGGGCAGGCGGCTCCACGGTGTCACCCGCAACATGTTGGACACCACGCGCCAGTGGAACTGCAGGCTGGACTCCTTCTTTGAGCGCCGGGTGACGTGGGACAGGCGCCGGGAGGAATGGGGGTTCTGCCATGCCCACTCAAACTATTGATGGAAGGAAGGAGAAGACAGGGGTTAGGTCTTGAAATGTCAAACTGGTGACATGTGAAGGGGGGGAGGGAGTTTAACTAAGGTTGTTGAATGGAAAGTTAGGCTAAAGAGAAGCAGTTCCTAATGACTTACCCTCAAAGCAGCTATGTCAGAGGGGAAGCCATGAATGATGAGAACCATCTCCCTGGAGAAAGCAGAAGGACAAAATCCACATGATGTACAAGGTCTCTCAAAGACTGTAGAAATGGCAACAAGCCACAACACTCATAATATCTCCCATAAAACATCATCTTATTTCACATTAGTTCTGTTAGCTACCAAGGTCCCCTTCCACTGGTCCTCTTGGCACCACCTCGGTGTCGCCCTGCGTTGTGCTGTCCTATCCGACGCTCTGGATTCACAGTGAAACCAATGTAGATGCGACCCTTGAATTTGGGATTGGTGCAATACAGCATATACACCCCGAATAAGCTCTCTACCTCCACGACCATTGTAGATGTACATTAAAGGCTCAAGTCACCAAACTCGGAATATGGATTTTAGTTATGTGTCAATAATAAGCAAGTTAGTGTCATAAACCTCACTGGTACGGTCTTTGCATCCTGTCCTGTGTTAGCTAACAGTTAGCTAGCTAGCCAGCTATTTTAGCTAACTAGTCTGACTTCTACCTGGTTACAAAAGCAACTTCTGTACATTGTTTAACTTAAACATGACGTGATTAGTATGGTAATATATCATTTTGCTCCAGCATTATTAAATACATACAAATTAATTTAATAAATAGTAAATTTCCCCCTAACCGATACTGGTTCTGCATTAGAAAAACGTACTGTAAACAAGAGAGGAAGAGGCAAAGCGAGAGCATTTCCTCTTCCCAAAATCTGTCCGTGTGGGATAAACCCTTTTTTGTATTTAGGTCTATAATAGTGTCGAATTACATGAGGCTTATTTGATCGACTATATGTTTCGTAATGTTCATACTGTTACAAATGTACTGATATAAGTGGATGCACGTGGCATTCCTGCAACTTTGAGAAAAACGACTAATGGTCCCACCAGATCTCGCCTGCCTTCCATCTTGGAAGACATGTATTTCCACTGTTAGAGCGGTCACTCGACTATCTTCTCAATATAATAGATAATCTTTGTTTAAACAAAACGTTTGCTGTGTTTTCAAATGAATAGGCGTTCAAGCTAGTGCCTGATACGACATATTTCAACGCAGCCATCATACTAACATTTTATACATTTCAAAATGTGAATTTCCGAGAAAAATCTCACAATGTTGTATCTTTGGTCACGTGAGGGGGTATATTAAAAAACGATTTGTTATGTCTTATATTTTATTCAGGCAAGAAATTAAACAGGATCGTAAAATAAGGACCACCATATCTCCCAATTGATTGGCCACTCCAAGATGGCCCAATTCTAGCACTCATTGGTGTACAAATATTTATCCCGCCCTAGTAGTATCTGGTTGGTTAGAAGTTCTGACTCCATAGTTGCGATTGGATCCTTTCACATTTTCTGAGTATCTAATCCCGCCTCTCAATACATTCACGGTAGTGGACCGCCCTTTCGCTTCGTTATCTGTGAAACAAAATAACCCACCGTAACGTTTTGGATCATAAAGCAAGTATTGTTTACAAAAGTATGTCTGTTACAACAGTTCACATCCGTGACAAACTAATCAAGGAATTCGGAGCGGTGCTTGTGGTATGTATCATGTATCCCTATTCCCCAATGAATGAAAACGCTTACTGCCCCTCATAGGATGCGTTTACACAGGGAGTCCAATTCTGATGTTTTTTTTAACAAATTGATATTTTTGACCAATCAGATCAGCCCAGAAAATCTGATGTGAAAAGATCTGGCCGTTATAATACAAAGCAGGATCAACGACTTAGCCAGCTAACTTTGATATACAACCATAAATAAATATAGATTGTCTGCTTAATTAAGAAACTTAGATATGTGATTTTGGTTGTTGGACCATTAGATCATGCCCTTTTCAAGCTTATGTTATTTTAGAACATTTGGCAAGTTAGCAGGCTAACTCATTGATCCTGCTTTGTAGTATACCCCTCTGATGTGATTGGTGAAAAAGCAATTAGTGGAACAGAATTGGGCTGATGTTGGTCATTTTGTATTTGTACATTTACACTCCTACTGGAGAGCTACTGGCTTTTGTTCTAGCTCTGCTCTAGCCTGATTCTACTAATAAATTGCTCATGATCAGAACCTTAGTTGAGTCTTATGTGTTAGTACAGGACTGGAGTAAAACCATTCACACCCAGGAGGTATGTTGGCCACTCCTGAGCTATGGTATTACACACCCCACCAATGACCTGTTCTACCGGCTTTATTTTGACAGGATGTTGAAGACACGTCCCCTAACAGATGTGCTGCCAGCTTCAAAGTTCTAATAGTGTCTCCCCAGTTTGAGGGGAAACCACTGCTGGCGAGACACAGGTAGGCACAGTGGGCAGGTAGCGCTGATATGGGTTATGAGCTAACTTTGAATGGGTATGTGGTAGACTGTAGTTGATAGGTTCACATACTCTTGTTTCTGATTTTTCGTTTGTCAGGATGGTGAACACCTGCTTGGCTGAAGAGCTGAAAGAGATCCATGCCTTTGAACAGAAGACGCTGACACCAGAACAGTGGGAGAAACAGAAAGCACAGTGATGAAGACACACACTTTGACCATATTTACATTTACTTTACACATTATTATTTGTAAATAAGCAACAGTTGCTCACACAATATTGACTTCCTGACCTAACATATATTTCATTTCAGTCAATGATGCAGACTGAAATGAAGTATTAAACATGATGACAAGACAATCCTGGTCCGAATTCCTTAATGATTGAATGAGTGTACTGAAGCATAACTTTCAGTTTTGGTTGTGGAGGTATGTGATTATTACTGACATTATACCAAGTTTTTATTAGGAATGGGACAACGCATAACACGGAACAGACAGAAAAACTCACATGAAATCTAATCTTATCACTTAAACAAATCATTTCTGTGTTTGTTTGGTCATAACAATGAATGACTTGACTCAAGGAAATGGCTTTTCAGATTGGAAAGCCCCAAATTAAAATGATTTCCAAGAAGTTTGAGATCAAGTGTGTAAATGAATCAAATGGACTGGCACAGCTTTGAATATTGATTATATGACTAATCTGTTGTACAACGCTCTGTTTCCAAGAATAGATAGTGTGCATGTGCACTGATGTCTATTGAAGCTTCACATAAAGCTAGACGCCCCCCAACCATCGGAGAGCTGGAGATTTCACAGTACAGGTGGCCTCCTGCTTTGAAGCTTTTATAGTTGCGGTTGGTTATCAATACTTATCAATAGTCCAATTCTGAAGCATCTTCAATTATCACTGGCTCTTCATTTGTAGCGAGTCAGCAGCACTGTTGTCAATTCATTTTGCACAACAAATTAACCACCTACATACAGTACTGCGCTGAACTGGAAAATTGGTTACACTCGCCAAAAGGGAATAGAATAAATTGTTTCCCTCCCAACTGAAATTGTATCAGCCATGAGCTAGGCAGTGCTAATGGCTTTTTAAAGGTCCAATGCACCTGTTTTTAAATCAATATCATTTATAGGTAACAATGAAATACCTTGCTGTGATTGTTTTAAATTAAAATGGTCAAAAAGAAACAAATATGGCTCCTTAGCAATGGGCAATTTTTCAAACAGCTCTTACACTAAAAGGGCATTATAATTGTCACAATGTCACAGTATTATTCCAACCTCAGTGTGGAAATATATATGAAACACAGGAAAATCACGTGTTTGACTGCACTGGGCCTTTAAGGTCAATATAAAAAATGTGTCTTTGACCATAAAGGTAACCAAATAGAAATGATTGTGGTTTGCATTTCAAAATGCTCACAAGGCACAGACACATTAAGTAAGCATTGCATTATCAGTGGGTGTTTGCGCATCCAGTAGATGTACTTAATAGTGTATATCAGGGGCGCAACTTTCACTGCACCCCCCCCCCCCCCCCCCACACACACACACAGTTTTATCATTGGAATGTGATACAAATCGAGGCAACGGTGTGCTTTAGGACCATGCTGACATCTTCGAGCAGTCGGGTAGGCAGTTTGGAGTGTTTTTCCGACTGGATAAAAAAATCTAATAATAATTATGTCCCCCCCACTTCTAAAACCAAAGTTGGCGCAACTTATTATGGTATTATCATGTCATTATTTATAAACAGTTAAAGGAGAATTTCACCCTGGCTCTGCCATGACATATAGTCATTACTATATTAACAACATTACGTTTTTATCATAAACATCACAATTATCCAAACCACAAGCTAGAACTGGCACATTTTCATTTCACTGGTAGATTCGGGAAGTTTCGACTCCCTGTGTATCGGTCTGCTCATAGTGAGCCACAAAGTCCGGCATTCATAGCGAATGCTGATACCACCTGCTAGGTAGAGGGGGCGTGCCCACAAATTTGAATAATGGCATTGTTTACTTTGAATGACCAACACACAGTAATCTCAGAACTTCTCTAGGCAAGATTTTTTGGAAAACATTTGTTTGTCACTTTGTCATCATGCCCGTGTGGTGTTCTGTGCCTGGCTGTGCTAATTACAAATAAGTGTGAAAATGAGTTATCTTTCACCATTCTACCTACCAGATTCACCCCGAATCCGCCAGTGGCTTGCGTCTATCAAGAATAATGCGGTGACCAAATATTATCAGAGGGATTTTCAGGCTGATTTCATGGGGAATCCATTTCGACGACAGCTGAGAAGTGATGCGATACCAACAATTTTCCCCCCCACCTTCACAACAAAACTGAAGATTCTCAATTAGAGGTAACCTAACGTTAGCTAGCTTGCTAGCCTAGCTGGGTAAGTTAGCTAGGTAGCTAACGTTAGAGCCCTGTATTGAACTCTGAAAGCCATCATCTAAATCATATTATCTATCTTTTGGTATACACACTGTCAATCAATTTTGCCTATGCCATGGTAGTGTTGTGGAAAACTCGATCCAAAGATTAAGCAGAGACTAATTTAAAGTATAATAGTGAATCTTTAATACAAGCAGCTGCAAGGTAGATCCATCTCTGATCACGGTCAGGGAAGGAGCTCACTGGGGAAATGGTTGCCGGTCGCTCTTATAAAGGAGGGATGATAATACAATCATATCATTTACATACAGTGCATTCGGAAAGTATTCAGACCCCTTGACTTTTTCCACATTTTGTTACTTTAAAGCCTTATTCTAAAATTAATATGTTATACCCCATAATGATGAAGTGAAAACAGGTTTTTAGAAATTTTGGCAAATTCATTCAAATTTACACAGAAATACCTTATTTACATAAGTATTCAGACCCTTTGCTATGATACTCGAAATTGAGCTCAGGTGCATGCTGTTTCCATTGATCATCCTTGAGATGTTTCTACAACTTGATTGGAATCCACCTGTGGTAAATTCAATAGATTGGACATGATTTTGAAAGGCACACACCTGTCTATGTAAGGTACCACAGTTGACAGTGCATGTCAGAGCAAAAACCAAGCCATGAGGTCGAATGAATTGGCCGTAGAGATCCGAGACAGGATTGTGTCGAGGCACAGCTCTGGGGAAGGGTACCAAAAAATGTCTGGAACCACCAAGACTCTTCCTAGAGCTGGCCGCCTGGCCAAACTGAGCAATCGGGGGAGAAGGGCCTTGGTCAGGGAGGTGACCAAGAATCCGATGGTCACTCTGACAGAGCTCCAGAGTTCCTCTGTGGAGATGGGAGAACCTTCCAGAAGGACAACCATCTCTGTAGCACTCCACCAATCAGGCCTTTATGGTAGTGGCCAGACACTTCTCAGTAAAAGGCACGCCAGCCCGCTTGGAGTTTGCCAAAAGGCTCCTAAAGGACTCTCAGACCATGAAAAATAAGATTCTCTGGTCTGATGAAACCAAGATTGAAGTATTTGGCCTGAATGCCAAGCGTCACGTCTGGAGGAAACCTGGCACCATCCCTACGGTGAAGCATGGTGGTGGCAGCATTATGCTGTGGGGATGTTTTTCAGCAGCAGGGATTGGGAGACTAGTCAGGATCGAGGGAAAGATGAACGGAGCAAAGTACAGAGAGATCCTTGATGAAACCTGCTCCAGAGCGCTCAGGACCTCAGACTGGGGTGAAGGTTTACCTTCCAACAGGACAACGACTCTAAGCACACAGCCAAGACAATGCATGAGTGGCTTCGGCACAAGTCTCTGAATGTCCTTGAGTGGCCCAGCCAGAGCTGGGACTTGAACCTGATCGAACATCTCTGGAGAGACCTGAAAATAGCTGTGCAGCGATGCTCCCCATACAACCTGAGAGAGCTTGAGAGGATCTGCAGAGAAGAATGGGAGAAACTCCCCAAATACAGGCGTGCCACGTCTGTAGCGTCATACCCAAGAAGACTCGAGGCTGTAATCAAAGCCAAAGGTGCTTCAACAAAGTACTGACTAAAGGGTATGAATACTTATGTAAATGTCATATTTAATATGTTTATTTGTAATACATTTGCAAACATTTCTAAAAACCTGTTTTTGCTTAGTCATTATGGGGTATTGTGTGTAGATTGATGAGGGGAAAAAAACTATTTAATCAATTTTAGAATAAGGCTGTAAGGTAACAAAATGTGGAAAAAGTCAAGGGGTCTGAATACTTTCCGAATGCACTATACGTTTTTTTTTTATATGGTGGTAGGTGGTAGGTGGTACAGAATCTGATTCCACCAACATGCGTTCCAAACCCTTGCTCCGCACAAGGTAAAGGTAAGTTGGCCAAAATATTTACAAGCTGACGGCTAAGAGTTACAGTAAGCATGGTATAAACACGAATTGGGTAGTGTTTGTATGTTTGTGTTATGGGGTTACATGTGGTCAGAGGTAGCCTGAGGACCAGAGTACCTTCCAGACCATGTAATCAATCTAGTCTATCCTTCTTCTGTTTTGACCTTTTCTTTTTGTAAAACTCAGGGTATCTGGAGTCATTCCAGTGCCCTGCTAAAAAATACCCCAAAGCGGGGGCATTTTGGGTACACAAGCATGAGGGAGCGGACACACCTTGCAGTGATGGAGCACAACAAGATTGTGGGACAGAAACCAGCAACGGACATTGAAAAGTATAAAATCAAGACTACAACATTAATGACACAACCACCTCATTAGACATGTCTGCAAAATTCCCCTGCAAAGGGCTACTATTGACACGATTGATCTGTCAAAGTCAATGGGCTGGGGGAGGTTTACAGAAAGTACTTTCAGATGAGGAAGGGGGTTTTGGTTGTGCAGGGTTGTGTGTAGACAGTAAATGTATTGTTGTGTATGAGAGCGATTGAGGTGCCATTTCTCCTCAATCTCCAATACACAACAATTAATACTGTGGAAGAATTGCCTTCCTAAGACTTTGCTCACCCTCTTTAGCCCCCCAGCCCGTTCACTTTGTTGACTGATCTTTCCTCTCAAAAGCAGCTCCCAGTGTGCCATCATTGTCTCAAATCAATACGCTAGCCGGTCCCATTCAGTTCATACACTATATATACAAAAGTATGTGGACACCCCTTCAAATTAGTGGTTTCGGCTATTTCAGCCACACCGTTGCTGACAGGTGTATAAAATGGAGCACACAGCCATGCAAT